GAGGTGAGGATGGTGACCAAGCATGCAGATTGGCCTCAGTGCTCAACTTGTGTACAAGACAGAGGTGACAAGGGATAAGCCCCTCACCCCTGGGGGCAGCCTTCACACACTGGGAATGGCAGTCAGTGGATAGACGCCCCAGCCTCTGGAAGGACATTCCTGAGGTGTACTCTGTGGTTCCTCAGAGGGCCCCAACGAGACGGAGTACCGGCTCCCACAGCAACAAGAAGCTGAAACACTTTGGGGGTTTTCTCCTACCCTATCTTGCTCTCCCCGTTCCCTCTTGGGATCACCTGCCAAGTAAACTACCTGCACCCAAGTCCTTGTCTCAGGCTCTGCTTTCAGGGGATCCAGAGTAGGACACACAAGCCCATGGCATCTGCACTCTACATGCACAGCAGGCTTTTCTGACATGGATCGCCCCAGCCATTCTTTGAGAATGCTGCCATAAGGAATGGGAGAAAAAAATACTGAAGGATGGTACAAAGGGGAGTGACTGGCCCAGATGTGCTCCTCTAGGAGATGAACTCTGGTGGCAATGTGAAGTTGAGGTGGAAGCAGCAAGAAACAGGAAGCAGGAGGCCAATTAGTAGGCCCTTACAAATGTCCCAGCAGGAGATAATGATAATGAAGGCAGCGCTTGAGACCATCTTTTCTGAAAGTCCTTTAATTTATAATGAGTGTAACGTCCACACAGAAATGGGGCTGATTCTCATTTGACATCCCCAGTGCTATCCTTGGATAAAGCTCATGTTTCCACGTTTTTCTTTTTGGTGTCTTCTATTAGCAAAATTTGATACACCAGTCTGATGCCACATATCTTCTTCTTCTTTTTTTTTTTTTTAATTGTGGTTTCAGGATCTTGACCTTGGTGCCAAGAAAGTGAAGCTGTACATCAACAAAAAGCTCATCTTTGATGGTGAGTTAGACAAAGGTGATGGCGAGACTCCGGCTACCCAGAGCATTCCAGTGGACCTGAGGAATGAGAGGATGGAGAACACTGGTAGCACCTACTCGGATGAAAGCAAAGATGCCCACAGGATGGTGGGTGCAGATGGGGGCAGACGGCTCTGTCTCAATTACTCACCACCAGCTGGAACACCGCTGGATGTCACAGTTTCTTCACAAGGAAATTTATTTGGTGAAAAGATGAATTCTACTAATTGCATGAATGGCAGTTTGTCCAAGTTAGAAGAAGATTTAAGAATGTTACAAGCCCCAGTCTCGATGGGTGACATTGCCAGTAACCCTCCCACCTCCCCACCTGTGACATGCCCTTCTCTTGACAAGGAGCTCTCTCTGATCCAGCAACTGGAAAACCTCACAGGCAGGAAAATCTCTCAGCCACCAAGGAAAACCCCATCCTGGTTACAACCTACTCCCAAAGGGAAAGGCAGGAAGCAGGGAGGCAGGAAACCCAAGCCCCTGTGGCTTAGTCCTGAGCAGCCCCAGGACTGGAAAGACTGCCTTCCATCAGACGACGGCAATGGTGTGGGTCCTGGGGAGACTGAGGCTAGGGATCGAGGTCCCAAATGTGAGCAAGAGTGGGTGAGCAGCTGGAGCGTCGCTGCTGGCGAGAGACCCCAGAGAGTAAACCCCAGGGTCTGTGAGGATGACTTGGACATCTTTCACCTGCCCTCCAGCAGAGAGCGCCCTGTGAGTGGGAGGAGGAGCTCGAGGAAGGACGCCCACAGCAGTAGTCATGGTGACAACCAGCCAGCTAGCAGAGGTAAGCATCCAGAGGCTGTCTGAACTCTGGTTTGAGGGCCCGTAATAGGCACAAAGTCATTAGCACCCTGGACCTCAGTTTCTTCATCTGCAGAACAAGGAGATTGTTCTCAATGAGGGGCCACAAGTCTGCTGTCTCAGGGTCCAGAAAGGTGACATAAATAAGTGAAATGAGCAAGCCATGCTTTGCTTGTTAAAGTCATAGATATATTTGCCACTGTCACCAGCATATGTCCCTTTGCCCATTTTTCTTGTAATACATGGCTTTTTCAATCTAGACTTTGTTACTCCACATTTGATAAAACATTGGTACCCAGTTGCTCCACTTAATTCTGAACTGCCCCACTTTTAAAAAATAATAATAAATATGATGATGAATAGTAATTGACATTTTCCTGGGTGTCAGAAGGACAATAGGGAGTGGTAAGGCCTGTGGCAGAGCAGAGACCACAGCCCTGGTGAAGGAGGCAGCTGCTGCAGTGCTAACCTTCTCATCAGAATCCCGGAATGCAAGGCCGGTGTGCCAGCTCTTCCTGCCCTTTCTTCAGGAGAAGCCAGAAATTTGCAATATTTCTATTTTTCAACATTGGCAACTGATGCAGATGATTTTCAAACCACTATGTGGGTAAAAATGCACTCGGCTGCTAATTGGGAGGTTGGCAATTCAAACCTACCAACTACTCTGTGGGAGAAAGAGGTGGCAATCTGCTTCTGTAAAGAACACAGCTCTGGAAACCCTGTGGGGCCATTCTACTCTGCCCTACGGGGTCTATTATGGTTTGGTTTGGTTGTTAGTGGGTCAAAAAAGTGAATGAATGAAAGGAAAGCAAAACATAAACACACACACACACACACACACACACACCTGCTGGCAGGGCTCGTCCTGAGAGCTATTTGAACTCCAGTAGCTGATGGGTCAGGGCCTTTCCAATCTGAGATGCAGGAACCCAGGACTGGGGTGCTGACTGTTTGCACTCAGATTTGGTCCCTGGGAGGGAGTGCAGCATAGCATCCAAGAGTCAAACCATCCGAATCCAAATTCTGCTACTTACAGAGCTGAGGTGTCTGGCTGGGCACATCCACTCTCTGAGCCTCAGTGTCTCCATCTGTAAAATGGGAATGAAAACCCTCCTCAGCATTGTGAGGGATGAAGGGGACGATGGCTTCAAAATAGTAGCACAGAGCCTGGTACATGGATGGTGTGGAGCAAGTGGCGGCCAGGGTTTCAGCACTAGCATATGTATCCCATACCATCCACAGAGCACTCAGACCTGCCAAGCCAGGGCTAGGCCCTCGGACTTTCAGCCCCACCCACTCTGCACAGAAGCATAGGCTCTGGAGTCAAACTGCTTGGGCATGTGTCCTGGCTCCCTCACCTCCAACTTACACATCAGGAGACATCTGAAACCCTTTAGCCTCAGTTTCCTCATGTGTGAAATGATGCTCATAATACCCATCTCATAGGGGTGCTGGGAGAATCAGATGAGACAATACATGTGAGGCATTTGGCATGGTGCCTGGCACATAGGAGCACCCAACAGATGCCCCCACTCTGTTACTCTGCCCTTTGGTGTTGTATCTGTACACGAAGAGATACATGCTTTTTTGTTTTTTCTGAATCATGCATTTTTGAATGAATCGTCATCATTTTTTAATGAATTGTTAGTGCCTAACTGACCTCACAAGTCAGCGTTCATTCCTAGTCTACATTTAGAAGTGTGGAGCGTTTGTGGCCTCTGTCAGACCCCCGACAGTCACCTGGATACCAGAGCAAGGATCTCAGACTCCTGATGCTGGGAGGGCCCCAGCCACTGCCTTCCTCTGGTGGGCAACAGGCTCATCTCCCCCAAGAACTGGCCCACCAGCTCCCCAGCCTTACGCATTCCTGCCCCCACCCCCTGCCAAGACTGAGCACTGAAATTGTTTATCACAGAGGAAGGGCAGTAGAGAGAAGACTGGGGAAGCTCTCTGAGGACAAGGGCCCTGTCTATCCAGAATCCCCAGGGCCCAGCCTCCTAGAGGCTCCTGGAGGAGGGGAAGAGAGAAGGAACGAGAGGCATGGCACGCTTGCAGTAAGCCAGCATGTAAAGATTACAGCCGTGGAAATCCTATGGACGTGTTACCTAATGGAGCGCATTTCATCCTCACAACAGCCCTATTTAACAGATGAAACGTGAGGTTTAAGTAACTTTCCTGGGATCACGCAGCTAGTAAGGATCCATATGGAATTTGAACCCAGCTCTCCTGCCATTAAAAATATCCCAGTAGCTTCTTCCATCCTGTCTTCCCAGTCCTGCAGCCTAACGTCTGGCAGATGGAACTTCCCATCTGGATTGTTGAACCACTGCCCAGTGGTGCCCTGTCACTACAGCCACTGTCAGCCACCAGCCCCGTGATAGGCAGTTACAAGCTTTCCTGGTAAACAGACCCATGGGGCCTCGGTGGGTACTGAGGGGATGGCCATTTCTCTAGCTTGCCCAAGCTCAGAACACTTTGTTTCACTTTAATTTCTTTCAGACATTTTACTTCTTGGCTCAACGACACATTAAGAACTGAGCTTTTGGGATTTAATGCTTGTTAAATCGGTCATGCTAAAAAGGAAAATTGCTTAGAAATGTTTAAATTACCCATTACATAGACCCAAATCCCACAGCCAGACCCTCCAGAAAGTGCAGGCTAAGCCTTCCGAGCATGCTGTGAGTCAGGGACTGCCCGCCACTGGAAGGCCTGGAATGGCGATGTCACCATGTGAGAGCCTGCAAAGCCTGGTAGTCATCAGAGCTTCTTACTGTGATGACAGCTGCTGGGAAATGTCCTCAGTAGGGATCGTATGGCTCCAGGTGGACGGAACCTGTTTTTTATGTGCCGTCGAGTCAGCCCCGATTCATAGCGACCCCTCCTTGGGTTTCCAAGGTGGTAATCACTACGGAAGTAGATTGCCCAGCCTTCCTTCTGAGGAGTGGCTGGTGAGTTTGAACCGCCAGCCTTCTGGTTAACAGTCAAGTGCCTTAGGCACTATGCTACCAGAGCTCTTGACCTAGTTAGCCCAGTTTGAGCAGTAACCAAGATAACCAAATCCGTTATCATTGAACTGATTCCAAGTCATAGTGACCCTATAGGACAGAGTAGAACTGTCCCATAGGGTTTCCAAGGCTATAATCTTTATAGAGACACTGCCACATCTTTCTCTCATGGAGTGGCTGAGACCACCAACCTCTTGGTTAGCTGCAGAGTGCTTAACCACTGCACCACCAGGGCTCCTTTTGAGTGGTAAGGAAGGTGTTATTTGGAGAGTGTCCAAGGAGCACCTCAGACAGGAGGTGGAGGTGGAGGTGCTTGACACAGGGACTGGAACGAGGAACCAGAAAGCCAGCCAGAACCAAGGGAGCATTCATCTGTCTCTCCAGGTCTACCGGACCCTGCCTCTGCTTCTCTGCCTGTCTACTTCCCTAACTCTTACTCACAAGGCAACATTTTCCTGCTGTATTCACACAAAAGGAAATGGTCTTATAGCCCTAGACTGATGGTATTTCCTGATAGTAGCTCCAGCAACCAGTTCCAAAGTCCTAGGGGAGAAACTGATTGGCTTCCTCAGGTCAGGTGACCCCATTCCTTGTCCAGTCAGCCGTGGCTGAAGGGCAGCCCATGAAGAATAAGCATGTCTCTGTTATACCGATGTACTTTTTAAATTTCCTGTTTTAGTAGCAGTTGTACCTCATGATGGTGCAGTTAATTTTTATGAACATAGGTTCAGAACTTCATAGTTTATATTAGTCCCAACCAAGGAGTATTTTTGGATCTTCGGTCCCATCACCTCATAAGTGGTGGGCCCTCCCAGATTTATGTTGACTTTATACCAAAGCAGCAGTTTTCTGTTGTTTCTTCAAATTTGTGGGTAGAAATCTTGACAAAGACCAGGCCAAGGACTGATCATGACTGTTCCCCAGACTCCCAAGGAGTATTGAGTAGTGTGTTTTCCTGCAGACAGAGAGAGACACAGGCCACAAACCTGCTGCAACATCTGAGAGGTCCAGGAGCAAGCTATGTTGTTGTTATGTGCCATGGAGTCTGCCCCGACTCATAGCAACCCCTCCTTGGGTTTCTGAGGCAGTATCACTACGGAAGTAGATTGCCCAGCCTTCCTTCCGAGGAGTGGCTGGTGGGTTTGAACCGCCAATCTTGGGTATGGCATGTGACTGCCTTAGGCCTGAGGCCATCCCAAACCCATTGCCATTGAGTCGATTCCGACTCAAACTGACCCCTTTAGGTTTCCAAGGCTGTAAATTTTTACGAAAGCAGACTGCCTCATGTTCTTTCTGCAGAGCTGCTGGTAGGTTTGAACGACAGCCAAATGCTTTAGGCACTGCGCCACCAGAGCTCCTTAGGGGCAAGCTATACTCCTCTGCTTTTAAAGTTCAGAGTGTGCACCTTGGAAAGGACAGGTCAGAAAGCAGCTGCGGAATGAGAGCCAAGCCCTGACTTCCTTGCACATTCAGGCAGAGAAACATAGATGAGGCCCTTACATGTGGCAGTCGGCACTGTCTCCTCTGTTCACTTCCAGACCAACACGGCTGTTCATTTCAGTCAGTGGAAATTCAATCATATGCACTGAAGCCATGATGGTCCATATGGGAAGCTCTGTCTGCCAGATGTTAGACTGTGAACTAGGAGGAGAGAATAGAGGAAACCACTGGGATCTTTTAAATGGCAGATGAGAAGGAGGGGAGGGAGGAAAGAGGACAGGTGTAGGAGAGCTGGCAGGTGGAGGGGAGAATCCCTTAGCCTCCAGGCCTGGACCCCTGGGGCATGTAATAGTGATGCCAGCCGTTCATCCCTTCACTCAGCAAATGTTGTTGAGCATTTCCTTGCTAGGGACCAGGGTCACAGCAGGAAACAGGATACACAAAATCCCTGCTCTCTGGGAACTTTAATTCCTGGGGGGAAACAGACAATAAACCAGGATATTGTGATGGAGCCCTAGGGAGCGTGGAGTGGGAAGAG